CAATTGCAGATATCATACCCTTTACTGCTAAATACTTTAGTACATGTTTCCTGAAAACCAAGGTACTCCCTTATATAACCACAGTAGATTATCAAAAACAGAAAACTGCACTAATATAATTATATTACTTAATCTAGCAGATCTATTCAAAATTTGCCAATTGTCTCATTCCTTTATATATTCACATACATATTTTACAGCATAAACAAAATATATTGTTATATATGCATATATATGTGTGTATGAATCTTCTCACCTTCCCCACCCCAGGATTTAATCCAAGATCACACATTATACATAGTTGTCATATCTCTTTGGTATCCTTTAATCTTTAATCTGAAACAGTTCCTCAGTCTTTCCTTGTCTTTAATGACCTTGACATTTTTGGAATACAGGCCAATTACTTTGAAGAAAGCCTTTCAATTTGGGTTTCCTCCTGATTCGTTTCAAATTATGCATTGAGGGGCAAGAATATCACCAAAGTGTCAATGTGTCCTTCTTAGAGCACTGTGTTAGAAGGTACTTGATATCTGTCTGTCCCATTGCCAGTAATGTTAACTTTGATTGCCTGGTTAAATTATTACCATTTTCCTTTTGTAATTAATAAGTTCTTTTTCTATTTGATATTATATAAATATAATGATAGTCAAAAGATGTTTTTTAAAAACACCCAACTCTACTCTGTGGCCTAACTAATTCTCCATAAATAATAACCTAGGAAAATGTTTAAGGTCTGCTTATGGGTTACAAAATAGCCAGTCGGGCAACTTTTCCTAGTGTGATGATCTATCAACTTTCCAACTTACCTCCTTCTCTCATGCATACAAAGCAAGAAACCTAAGATTCTATTTTTAAAAGAACATAATAACATCTCTGCTCTCATTCCTCATTCACCAGATGAGAACGCTGAGGCTCAGACAGGCTAAGATCAGACAGCTACTTGTGGAAGACCTGAACATAATTAAGTGCTCTTTGTAGAGCAAGAAAGGCAAAAGTCAATTTAATGCCCTTCAAATATATAAGCCCTACAGGTACACCCAAAGCAATCCTAAGCAGGTGTGCTATGACTATTTTGGAAAATAATGGTATACTTACACCGATCCACAGAACACCTTCCACAGAGTCACTGCGGTTTTTAGGGGAAGACAACCACTCACTATGCCTCGGTTTTGTTTATTCTCTTTCTTTCTCTCTTAGAAACAGTTAAGTCATTCCAAAGACAAAGATAAAACCCCATCACCCTGGGAGACAACCTGAGACACACCTGCAATGGGCTCCTACCATGGGACATTATACTTCTTACCCAATATGTGGGACTTTTGTTTAATTCTAATCAATATATTTTTACATGTTATTTTGCACTTGCATGAGATGTCATAATCTTATTAGATTGTACAGACTTGAAAAATGATTGGTATTCATGCCAAGAACACTCTAACCTAGGCTAGCCCCAAAGCAAGCAGCCTCTATAGTGCTCTGGAACTTTCTTTTCCAAGACGAATATGTTATTTAAAACTAATAAGAATAATAAGCAGCAGGTTTCAGGTGCTGAAGTTCCATTCTCAGCCTCTACCCAGAACACAAGATGGCTCTGAGTTGTACCTTGCCAGACCTGCCTCTTCCAAGGCATTTTAAAAGCAGTGAAAATGCCTCTGCTCTGTCCTATCTAGTATCTCAAGGTAACACTGCTTGATAAGTTATTTTTAGATGATATTTAGCTACATATCCAAAGTTATGAGCCAGAGGTAAGGACTATAAAGACATCCAGTACAATCTTCCTAGACAGAACAAGTAGCATTTCTTCCTCACCACTTCCTGGGACGTACTACATGTATAAACACAGAAGCAGTGCTTTCACTGAGGATTAACACTTAATCAAGACTTGGTATAAAATAAGCAAGTGATATTTAAGAAATCATAAAAGCAAAGCTGTAAATTGCTCTAAGAGTTGTAATTAGTAAATGTATTTAAGCTTTAGAAAATAGAAAAGTAAGCCGGGCTCGGTGGCTCAGCCTGTAATCCCGCGCCTTTGGGAGGCTGAGGTGAGTGGATTGCCTGAGCCCACAGGTTCAAGACCCACCTGGGCAACTTGGCGAGACCTCATCTCTACAATAAATCAAAAATCAGCCGGTCATGGTAGTGCATGCCTGTAATTCCGGCTACTCGGAAGGCTGAGGCGAAAGGATCGCCGGAGCCCAGCAGGCAAGGCTGCGGTGGCCAGGAGCGGCCACTGCACTCCAGTCTGGGCGACCGAGTGAGACTCCAACTCAAAAAAAAAGAAAACAGAAAGGCGTTTGCTGTGTTAGGAGAAGAGTCAGTAAGTGGTAGAAGGGTAGAAGGGTCTTCGGTAACTTCCAATGCGTGTTTGCCATGTACAAGCACTGTGCTGAGTGCTTTAACCATCTTCGTGTTCCTCTCATTTTATACAAAGTTAGTAAAAGTAAACAAGATATTTGGATAGTACTATCAATTTGATCTAACATTATTATCCTTCTTTGTGGTAATGAATGAACAATCTTGGAGTGTTAATCATTGTGCAATCATTGCTGACTCATCTACTAACTCACTCTCATACTTCTCTTGGACCACTTTGTGGGTGAGACCTTCCCTGATCACTCTATATACAAATACCAAACTCCTCCAAACTAGTCCTGCCTAAGTCTCCTCATTAAAATGTAAACTCCATAAAGGCAGGGATTTTTTTTTCTTAACTGCTATGTTGGGAACCAGAAAGGTGCCTGGTAGGTGTTTAGTACATATCTGTCAAATTAATGGTTGATTCATGGCTGGGTGTGGTCAAGGCAAGAGGATTGCTTGAGCCCAGGAGTTTGTGATCCGTCTGGACAACAAAGCAAGACCTTGTCTCTACAAAAATTCAAAAAATTAGCCAGGCGTGGTAGTGCACACCTGTAGTATCAGCTATTCATGAGGCTGAGGCAGAAGGATCACCTAGGTCAAGGCCACAGTGAGCCATGATTGTGCCACTGCACTCCAGCCTGGATGACAGAGTGAGATCTTGACTCAAAAAAATAGGAATAATAATAATTTCTTAACAAAACCAAACCATAACAAAGATTAAATTTTAAACAAATGATTTCCTTCCCTTCTCAACTGCAAATGAGTTTTAGTGACTTGACTTAAGTTACTAGAGTCTCTTAAAAAGATTGGGTAGGGAAGTTTGAACTCATGACTCTAGTTGCTGAAACTGTCTCTAAGACTAGGAAGGATATTCAAAAATCATGATATTGGCTGCACATTTTTAAAAATTAGCATGGAATTTCCTTCCTAGCTGCTAAACACATTTGAGTATTAAACACTTCATTAAACACTAGAGACACAATTCTAAGTTAGGCAACTTCATTCACTACTGAACAACATTCTCTGAGTAACTACATGTGCCAAACACTGAGGTCTTGGCTGGGAGGAAAACACATAGTAAAACACCAGGGCTAACGACCTTCTTAGCCAATACGGGACATCTGCTCTCCCTGTTGGCCACCTCTCCCGACAAGCCTCTCTAGAACAAAGTGAGCAGCTCAAACAGGACTTTTCACATAACTGCCCTTCCTGGCAACTTTTATTATCTCCCACTGCTATGAAGGCAAAGAAGGAAAAAAAAAAACATTGAAAACTATATGTTGCACATAGGGAGAAAGTTATAACTTTGATCAACATTTAAATTTGTAGGAATTTTTTTTTTTAGAGAAAACTCTCCATTTTTGAATGAGCAAAAATTTTGTCTATATGGAAATCTAAGATAACTAGATAATCCTGGGCTAAAAATAATAGAAAGATAAAATATAATAGGTGTTCAAAGTTTTAGCATAAAGTTTTAACATAACAAGCTTAGGCATATATCACTGACCCACTGTAAGGAGAACATCTATTAAGTTATTTAATTAAAACAAATCTATCAGTTAATGTGAAGAATTACTTGTTTATTTACTTATATGAAGTATGTACAATTTTACTGATGTGGTTGAAACCTTGGGCATTACCTGTTTTCTTCCTGTTTCTACTTTTTAGGGAAAAAACATAAAGCTGTATGAAACTGACACAAATTCTTTTTTAAATACCGTTAGATATTCCAGTTTTGCTTAGATTAAAGATTCTGAGTAATAAAACTGTATTAACTTCTCCCCAGAACAGTTTTTTTTTAAAATGACATCAAAATAAGGAAATGAAATGATACCTTCTTCACAATATTTTCCATCACAAAGTACTCTTTAGCTATATCTATCTCCAGGAAGATTACGTAACATCAAGTGATGAGAAAAAAAGTTTTTTACTTAGATGCACACTCAAGCTATATATATTATGCTTTCACTTGTGCGCTAATGTTTTGTGATTCGTTGTGGCACAGTGCTCATCCTGTAAGAAAGTGGCCAGTCTATAGCTTTAGAAATACTGGCATCCCTAAAAACACGTTAGTCATTTTGAAATTCCAAAAGTAGGGAGGCCGAGGCGGAAGGATTGTCTGAGCCTAGGAGTTCAAGACCAACCTGGGCAACATGGTAAGAGCTTGTTTCTACAAAAGAGAAAGAGAGAGAGAGAGAGAGAGAAATTCTGAAAATAGTCATTGAAATAGACCTTAGCAGATTTGAGATAAAAGGCTTACTAGAGAGCTGTGTGCCATCCTTGCTTAAATGCTATAACTCAAACAGCATTCTGACCACAAATATTATGTGTAAATTAAAAATAGCTTGGTTAATACAAAAATCACTGAAAAGTACAACACTTATAGACTAACATCCCCTTTATGTTTCTTATAAATTTTTGAACACTAACATAATTTTTAATTTGGCACAAAGATCCCACGACTCACGTTTGTAACCTGCTTGGTCCATCTGACTCTACCCAGCTCTAGGAAAAAACGCCTTTGCTCAGTGCACCAGCATATCCATTGGTCTTATTTTAAAATTTGGGATGAAGATGTTGAATGTGGCTGTGCCTCTGATCCTTACGTGACAGCAAATTGTACTCTCCATCATAATACTCACAGCTGTTGCCTGCTGTATTACCCCTCTGTCCAGTCGAATGTTCTGGCTCCTTATATGGAAACTGGAGAGTTGTATCCAAGGTTCTGAACCCTTCTTTAAGAGAATGATGCTTGTAGTATTCCACAAGTTCCTTTAGAAAAAAAAAGAAAAAAAATCAAAGGTTAGTTTTTGATAAGGATATTTTCATTTTCACAAACTCCTTAACACATAATTATATAAGACATAAAGATGATCAATTTAATGCTAAATTTTCCATATATGGAAGAATAAGTCAATGACCATCTCCCCCTGCTGTTTGGAGGTACGTGACACCTAGCTAATAATTGTCCTTGTTACTCAGGCAATTTATAATATGAATGACCCCCTATTATTATTCATGGATATAGAACATCCGTTAGTCTCAGTCAGATGTGGCAAATGAAAAGAAAACCACCCTACACTTCAATTTCAGAGTAGTAATTATTGTTCTTATTTATGAAATACTTGCCTTTCCAAACCAAAATAAAAGGAACAGCTGCTTGCTGAATATATAGCAATTTCTAGTTTCCTGCATTTTATTTTCTTTCAACACAGCAGAGAAACAAACTTGATACTAAATGTACTTTTCCACAGTAAACAAAAGTTGAAAAAGCACAAATGGTACTTGACATTGTTCTTTGGTTTGTGATTAAGTGTTAGTGAACATCATATATCGTGTGTCTCTGCATACCTGCCACTCACAGAGGTCGATAATATGGTTCTTCTCAATTTTCTCTTATAAATAATTTGCCTTAAACACAACCAAGTCTAATACAATCACTATACACCAACTTTTAGACTAAAGTTTCAGAAACTTTCTTTTCATATATTGGTTTCACAGATCCTGTACAAATCTGAATCTTTCCACTGAAAACTGAAACTGAATCATAATGCATAATGGAAAAATACAACTTATTATTAGATGAGCACTGTAGATATAAAGTTTCTCATAAATATCTGAAAAGAAAATAAAAGCAAAGTCACTTTTAACCTATTTATTCAGTGCTTCTATTTTCCAAAAACAAACAGTAAAAAGGCAACTCGTTTCTTCTAAAAAAAATCTCACTATCATTGACTCAATACTTCTGTTCAGTGGTTATGTTCAAAGTTCCCAAAACAAATCAATCGGACCAAAAATCACCCAAAAGAAAAAAAGGAGAATCATCCACTATTTATTTATTATTTATGACAAAACTCAGATAAGATGTGGAATACATTGCGCTGGGAGTTTCAGGGTCACAAAGTTGATAAAGATAAGGCTCCTGCCCGCTAGGAGTTCTCGTCCTAGAAGGGAAAGTTCAAAGGCATGGCAGAGAACTATGATACAGGTGTCCAACGGGGAGGATAAGGAAAGGTTTCATGATGGAGGTAGTTCAGCTTAAATTGAAGAGCAGATAAAATCACAACAGCCAGGAGCGGGCAAGGGTAGGAGAATCATTTTAGGTAGAGCAGCTAGGCTGGGAACAGACATTGAGGTGATAAAGTAAAGACCACCTTCATAGACTAAAAGCAGTATGGTTTGGCCACAGCACTGGATAAAGTAAAAGGAGATTTTTCAATCCTCACACCTGTAAAATGGGATAATAAACCATTTCACAGACCATACAAAGAATATAAAGCATGTGGTACATGTGAAAAATCTTAACAGCTGCCATTTGCCTACATGCCTGGCCCTTTACCCAGTTTCACAGCATCATCTTCGAGAACCTTATATGACGGGCCTTACTCCTACAGATGCTCAAAACCCAGTGAGGTTAATAAACGTATGCAAGGTCAAATAGCTAGTGTCTGTCTCTTTTAAAGTCTGCTCTTAACTACATCATGCTATTAGCAAATGTAAACACAAAAAAAGGAAGGCAAAAGGGAAGTTGTGTTCACTGCGGTTCTATGATGTATCAAGGAACTTTGTTTTCTTAGACTTAGTGTGTTAGAGTCTTATATACAACATATCCATAGCTTTTAAAATACATATTTCTTCCTTGGACCCAGATAATGGGAGTCCTTAATGAAGAAAAAAAAAATCTGAAATCAGAGCAACCTCTAAAAACAAAGAGAATAAGAAACAAAATACCACATACATCCCCAAAATTGTTTCAATGATCAGAATATGGCATCTGTCTTATAGCAACTTATAACATGGTTTGGAGAGGCAAGGTCTAGAACTAAATTCTGCTTAGTGACCAATATTGCTATTTATTAAAAAAATACAAAGTAAAATTTTGTTAAGCTTCTGAAGAACTATGCATGTATATTATGTTCCTGATACAAATGACACCAAAGAGTTTTCTCTTAGTCTTGTTATTTGAGTAAAATGCTTTCTTTGGCATTAAGAAAGTAAACTTGAAAGGAATTATAAGTCAATAAGCTTTGAACTTCAAAGTAATTTCATTATAGGTAACAGGAATTTTAAGAATTTTGCCATGAATTATTATGAATTAAAATTTATGTGAAGTTGGCTAGATACCATATAATTATCATACAGAACAAGGACTGGTGATCATTTAATACCCACCTATTCCAAAATTTCATGGAGGGAAAAATGACTTTTCCAAGGCCTTGGGTCATGTGGCTTAGTAAACTGCAAAACACTCTTTTTATTATTTCCCTAAGCATGGGAGAGATTTTAGTTGCATTTTTACAGTCTTAGGTGGGTAAATCTTCCTACATGTTTCTAACTGGGTTGAATTAAATAGTGCCACCATGGAGCTTTCCAATTTATGCCTTTATGCTTTCTGTATTTTAGTCTAATCCACCCCTGCTTTAGCAGTCATTGACCTTCAGGTACAACAAGTAAATAAGAAGACTCCAAACAAAAGAAATCGCTAAGCCTTCCTTATCTCACACTGACACAGCAGTGTCAACAATTCAAGTCTCTCTGAAAAATAATGAGTGAGAGCCAGTCATTCCAATTACCAAGGAAACAGGCAATGGAGATGGTTTATAAACAGCATTTGGACATGGATTGTCTGGCATACATGGAAATTAGAACAAAATTAATGCCTTGTAATCTGGATGCAGAAATTCATTTAGGATTTGAACTTAATGACTACGAAAAACAATGATTCTGATTAACCAAGCTATTGAAACCCAAGGGAAAAAGGTGAGGTCAGAACCACCTAAGGCCAATCTTCTCTTTGAAGAAACTGGCTAATAAGAAATAAGCTCCAGAGTTTGCTTGTCTTTTACATTCTTTCCAGATTAAAATTTAATTCCATTTCCTATTGAGTTTCATAGGTAGAAGAGTATTAACTCTAATACCAGTAAAGGAGGATACTGAACTATTCTTAAAAAATAGCAATTCAAATCCACAGACCACTCCTCACTTATAATAGTAACGATGTTACTGAACACAAACATGATAAAGGTAACTCCTTGAGGCCGTAGGACCCTGATTTTGAGGAGCCCCCTGCACTGATTAATCTTCCACCTCCTTCCTAAAGGTCTGGTTACTGAAACATGAGGCTGTCCTTTGGACCAAGTTTCTATGTGTCATTTCCTAGCCTAGGTTCTAAGGACTGCACTGTTGTGAGGGTCTTGATACTGCCGAATCTACTGATTTGTAAGCTTTTTAAGAACAGTTGAGTCCTTTTGGAATTCTCCAAAAACACAGTGATTTAACATAGCAAGAAGTTCATATAAATTCGCTAAACAAATGAACAGAAACAAAAAGAAAAGGCAGCTTCAGACTAGTGCAGCTGCCTGTTCAGCAATTTTTAGTTATTTGCTAAACCTGACAAAAGCACTTTTCTGAAACAGAAAATTTTCAGCTCCTTGTCTTCCTTTCTTTACACAATTACATCCTTTTGCTAATGTTTTTCGGTTTCATTGTAGTTTTTCACTGTTAATTCTTAATTCCTTTCCTTTAATACACTGCAATACGTGCTTTCTTACAAAAGATCTCCAGATATGGAAGGAACAAAAACAATCATATGCATGTGTCTCTAACAGTGGAGTTTCTGAGATTTTTATACATAGCACATAAAGTTAGCTTATTTTAGCCCTATGACAAGTACTTTTAATTTTCTTTCCAGAACATCATTGCAGAAGCTTGTATGGCTCTCTGGCACAAAGTATTCTGGGTCTCTATTGCTTTCACCATAATCACAGGTTCACATGCAGATGGGAACTCACAGATCTATGTCTGCTAATCTAGGACATGGCGGGATTACTGGCTTTTCACGTCTAACCTTACTAGCTGAAGAACCCTGAGCTGAACCCAGGTGACACAAAGCTAAATGGATTGGCCCTTTCCAGTGACTATTTCTTTCATCCTCTTTGCTTGTCTTTTCTGCTGGGAGTTCCTTTTGCTACTTTCAAAGTCTGTAAAGGCTGGCGGTTGTCTCTGGCCCTGAAGGCTTGTTTCAAGCGCATATTAACTATAATTCTGTGGGGCAGCCTCATTACAATCCAAGGAAGTTCTGCAGGTGAAAACTCAAGCTGGTGTGTCTTGCAGAGATGTGGAGGGCCCCGTGTATGCTTTTATCACATCTCAGCTGCATCTGGCATTCATTATTTGGGCATCCACTTGCCACCACCTTCCTAGGTTTTCATTTTATGAGGAACCTCCTCTGGTCCAATTTTCTCTGTGCAGAGCCTGCTTGCTTCAACAGAACGTAAGCCACTTCCAACAGGGAGGATGCCTGGATCTTGGTTAATTTGACAGAGTTTACATTATCCAGGACATGACCTTGCTGCCTATCCGTAGCTTCTGAATTGGGAATGTGATATTTATGTCCATGGAGATTTTCTTATTTTTCTTTCAACTCAAGATGCTTCGATTTCTTTAAAACACTGATCTCTGCCTTGAGGCAATTCGAAATTTTTAGATAATGCCTTTAAGCTGGCCTATTTTGTAAGAGTCTTTTATACTCGGTTTTAACTTTAATGCTAAATATCTGCAATATCTTTGAGATGTTTTCCAGATAGATGTAGTACGTATCCTTTGATGGACAGTTCAATGAATGAGTGGTTCTTCCCAAAGTTACTCAAAGTACTTAGTAGCTACAAATGCATCTTACATCCTATATCCAAATTCTTCATTATCTCAAGAAACTTTCAAACTTGAGAACCAATCTTGAGACCACTTTTAAGGAACTATGAACTTTTCTTTTACTGTATATATGATATATACAATATACTTATATGCTAACAAATTATTTATAAGCTGTAATTTTTTAATGGGGGAATTAACCAAATAATCATTGTTCATGAAACTAAAATGAGAAGTATTTTATTAATTACAGTTTTTGGTGTTATAGTTTAAAATACCTTCCACTGCCTAAATGAGGAGACAGGAAAATGAAAGAAGAAGAAAGAAAAGCAAGGCATATGAATAATTTGTTGTGTGTCATTCAAACACAATCCCAAACTCACACTAATAACTGGAAGATGATTGTGTTTATATATGAATTAGTCATTGCTCTAAGAGTCATAAATAGCACAGATGCTGAAATATTATCTAAAACCAGCAAACTTAATCTATAATGAAAAATATGATTAGAGCAAAATAAAACAGAGTTTTTAAAATTAGAATTTTCAGGATTCTGCTGCCAAATTATAGTATGATTCTCTTTAAATGACTTTTCAGTAAGAAAAATTTCCAAGACTCCAGAGAATTAAATTGACCTTTCTAACCACAGAAAAATAGGGATCACAGATTGAAAAGAAATAATCAATGCTCACCATTAAACTTTTAAATTTTCTATTTTCTGCAATGTGAAAAAAGCCATCTCTTGTTAAAATCTTGATGTGCTTTGCTTCATTATTGTACCTGTGGGCAATGAATAACTTATGAATATAAATGTGTTCTTAATCAGTAGAAATCAATAGTTACCAGAGGGCATGCCCCAATAACATTATAGGAATTAATTCTGAAGACAAAATATATACCTATGCCAATACACTGGTGGCAGCTAATTAACAAAATATATTTACTAGATTGAGTGAAGATACAACCCATATTTGAAGTGAGAAGGGAGGTTGAATTTTACTAATCATTATGCTCAATTTATTTAGAAAATGTAGTTGGAGAATGTAGAAAAACAAAATAAAAACAAAATCTGGTCATTTATACCCTTAGAGTCTACTAGAAATATACACATATCAAATCACCAAAACACAATGTTATGAAAGAAATCTAGTATGCCAATTAGTAGCTTATACCACTTATTATTATTTTTCTAGCAGATACTTTTAAGTATTAATGAACTGTCTGAAGAGATGCATTATTTCTGCCACAATTAGAACTTTGGTTTTCAGCTCCAGTGTTATACATGTCAGATGGTCTATGCAATTATGAAAACAGGAAATCTATTTCTGTAAAAGTACTTGTCCTACTTACTTAATGCTAATCGCATATTCTCCTGACTCTTTGGTCCTGTGCCTCACAAGGTAAGTACTATTTACCCTATTAATCAGTTCAGTCTCTGCTTGCAATCTTTCCATTGCTCCAGCATACCTGTAAGAAACAGTGACATAGAAACTTTGGATAATGTACCTAGATGAGAATAGAGGCTAGAAACAAGAACCTGCCAGCATTTTAATTTAGTAGCCGATCTGACCTGTTTTATTTATTTTTTTACTTCTATACTAATTAAATTGCTTAAGAAAAATAATTCAGAAAAAAAGTCCTTAAATATGTCCAAACACAAGTCCTCTACAAAGCTAACAACAGTAAAGTGAATGGTGCCTAATACGCAGTAAGCAATCAGTAAATATTTATCAAATAAAAAAATGGAACAAAGAGAGAAGCCAGGAGGAACTGGAGAGAAAGACAGCTGTGGGGAGTTTACAGCAAGAAGGAAAAAGACTTGTAGGGAAGGACTTCCCTGCATAAGACACACACATGCACACACTATGTATGCTGTGAAATGAAATCTCATAGTGAAATTTAAGCATTTTTTTTTTTTTTTGAGTTGGAGTCTCACTCTGTCATCCAGACTGGAGTGCAGTGGCCGCTCCCGGCCACCACAGCCTCGGCCTGCTGGGCTCCAGCGATCCTTCCGCCTCAGCCTTCCAAGTAGGCGGAACTACAGGCATGTGCTACCACACCCGGCTGATTTTTTTATTTATTGTAGAGATGAGGTCTCGCTGCCCAGGCAGGTCTCGAACCCGCGGGCTCAGGCAATCCACTCACTTAAAAGAAAGTTCTAGTAATAATTTAAATTATTGTTTAAATAATTATTTTGAATTTGAGTTTATTTAAATTATTTTAAATAACTATTTTTAGATATAAGATTAATTCATATAGTCCACAATTTTGATAACCAGTTTTCTTAAGAAATTAGTGAGGAAATTTTATTTTCAAAAGGAAGATTTTTTTCAAAACCAGAATTCAATTCTCCCTAATCTATGCTGACCTTAAACATACTCAAACTCTGTAACAATAATAATAAGAGGCCTAAATTAAATGTTAAAATACTCTTTGATAACCTCTCACATCAAATCTAGGTGTGAATATATGTTGCTGCTCCCACATTACGTGTTGTGAATTATATTTTTAGAATCTACTACTGTCCTTTATGAGCTAATTTTTAGTTCACACAACAAAATCATACTTTTATTCTCTCTTCTTCATTAAATCTACCTTCCTAAAATACAAGATACAATATGCCCCATTCGTTTCTGTGGCTGTTTTAAACCTTTAATTTATGGTCAAAGGTGCTCACTCGCATGTGCGCGCGCGCGCGCACACACACACACACACACACACACACACACACACACACACACACACACACCCCCTCTCTGATAAAGATATGGAAAGGTCAGCAATATATGAATTCATTATGGTGCTTTGTTACATCTGAAAACACCTTCAGCCAAGACAAATGGAAATGGAACATGGTTTACTACGTCCACATTTAAGGCATCCTGGAGCTAAGAGTATGGTATTTCAACTCAGCTACATAAACATTTTTAATACTTACCAGGGTTGGCAAGAATAATCTACTGGTTTGGGCACCTAGGATATAAAAAGGCAAAAATAGATTAAGTTTACTTAAGGGAAGCTTTTAGAAATCAATCATTAATTCAGTTCAGCTGACTCAGCTCTATAAAACCCTAAGTAGCACAGTCCTGGAACTATCCATTGGCAATTTTATACAGAGTGAATCATAGTGTATGTCAGATAAGTAGAAAATAATTCATTTCACTTTAATTCACTCTTTCATTCATTTTACTGCCACTGTAACTCTACAGGGAGAGATAGCAGAAAATATGAACTAGAAACTTTTAATATTTATTATCAAGGCAATTTAATCCTATCATAGAAAATGAAAATGAAAGCGTTGTTAAGAAAGCCAAACAGCACTTCACTTTCCCAAGACATTGGGAAAACATGCAAAATAAACAACATACACTAAACATGGACTCTAATTTTGTCACAAATTTCAAACTCTGTTTTTGAAATCTATCAACTAGACACCTTTTATTCAGGAAAATATCATGGAAATTTTTTAACTTTTTTCTCTTTTCTCATAGAGAGCTTTGTACAGAAGAAAAATAATGCATCTTCTATTGAAATAAAGAAAACTTCCAGCTGCACAAGACCAACTAGGAAATGAACAAAGTCAAAGAAAGTATACTAATATTCAAAAACAAAATAAAATGCATACTACAGAGAGGGGACAAAATTTACAAATTCCTTAGATTAAGAGAACAATTCCAAATAATTTACATAGATGCTTTGTCTTCAAAGAGGTGGAGCATCACTCCTCACTGCCTAAGTGTGGGCTGTGCATAGCAACTTTCTCCCAAAGAGTGCACAGTACAGAAAGAGAGAAAAAAGAGTAACTTTGCAGTGGAGAGACCTCATAAATACCATCTTCAGTCAAATAATCAAGGTTCATATCAACAATGAGAACACATATTGACATTATGTGCCCTGAATAAGACAGAATATACCATAATCTGTGCTCTTTGTCCTCCAAACACATTACCCCAATCTAACAAGGATTAAAAACATCCAGCAAATCCCAGTTGAAAGACATTTTATGAACTATCTGATCAGTATATTTCTCAAAACTGTTGAAATCATCAAAAACAAGGAAAATCTGAGAAACTGAAAGGAGCCAAAAAAGACATGAGAAATAAATGAAATGTGGTATCCTAGATGGGTTTCTAGAACAGAAAAAGGACACTAGATTTAAAAAAAATCAAGAAAATATCAATAAAATATAGACCTAAATTTAAAGTAATCTATCAATATCCATTTATTAATTATAACAAAAAGAACCATACTGATAAAGTGATAATAATAGGGGAAACTGGGTGTAGGGTATGTGGGAACTCTCTGTATAATACCTTCATAAGTTTTATCTAAATATAAAACGTTCTAAAATTTTTTTAAAGAGTATAATATTCTGTCTTGTGTTCAGAAAATGTTGATATATGCATTCATTGATTTTATTGTGCCTTTCTATATTGAGTAGTTTTTAAAAAACTGTTATACTCAACACTATGGTATTTCAGAGATTTGCCCAATGTAAATATGTCTCCAGCTTTCATAATGGGCTGTCACTATTTTGCCTTTCCAGGTTAAATCTTATATACAGGTTGAGTATATAAATGCTTGAAAACAGAAGTTTTTCAGATTTTTTATTTTTATTTTTTTGGATTTTGGAATATTTGTATTTAGGTTCAGCATCTCTAATCCAAAATCCAAAATTTGAAATGCTCCAATCAGCATCTCCTTTGAGCGTCTTGTCAGTGCTCAAAATGTTTTGAATTTTAGACCATTTCAGATATTAGAGCATTTTGGAGTTTGAATTTTTAGATTAAGTATACTCAAATTGTATTTAAAAATTATCGTTCTAGTCAAAACATGTTTTTGATTAATAATATTAACACTTAAATATTTTTATCCTATGGATCACATTTTCAATATAACTACTTTGTAAAATGCCAATACATAGTAATTAATATGGAAGGTAAATTATACCTATTCTAATCTTGCAAATCGTTTCTTTTATATCATTTTGTTTTCATATATAGAAATGAATCTTCAACAGTTTCTCTTCTGAAGACAAGATATACATGGCTTCTAAAATCTGTTGGGGAAAAGATTTTCTCTTTTTCACTCCATCTTTTTATTCTTTAAAAGTATGATATATACTTATTCCTAAACCAATCTCTCTCTTCATGGAGAACAACAACAACAACAAAATGGAGATAGGAGGGAGGGGGAAAAATTTCAGCATGTTCTGGTTATGGACTCCCTTAGCTAGTAAAAGGCTGGAGATCCCAGAAAATGCAGGGTGGAATGAAATTCTAAAGCAAAGCAGACAACTGAGGCTGTTCCATCTCTAAGTGTCCTATTAAAGTTTTTCTCTCTTCATTGGGGTGTATTCTGACATGTGAAGCCCTGAGATGACCTCTTCAGTTATGAGCTCCATAAGCAGGATGGAGTCCTATTCTTTTCCTTCTTATCATGGGCCCTTTCCACTTCTCCTCCGAGTACTCTGGGTTCTTGTCTATGCTTCATTTTTAAAACTATAGCTAATTTTTGGAAGGGCACTCTCTTTCCCTAAGGCCATTTTCTGCCTTCACCATAGCCTATGCATATTGTTCAACTTCTATTACGGATATATAGTTTTTAGAAATATTTTTGGGAGGATAGAATGTATACAAAATTACATACACACACACACACACACACACACACACACACACACACACACACAAATGAATGATACACATTTCTTCCCGAAGTAAATCCTATAAAGTTGGATAGGACACATCAAATAACTTTCTCTGTGTTTGTTTCACTACAAATGTCCTTACTTAGAAGAGATTAATTTCTAAGTTGACAGTAATTTTCTGTGAAAACTTTCAACATATTATTCTTATTGTTTTAAATATTATCTCAGATATTGGGTTTCATAGTCTAAAATCTCCATTTGGTTCTTTTTTATAGTTCATATTTCCCTACTGAGGTTTGCTGTCCATTTGTCAAGAACATATTTTATTTTGTGTCCTTGAGCTTAGTTATAAAGAATAGCTGCTTTTAAAATCCTTTCTTGCTAATTCATCATTTGAGAAATTTCAGGGTTGATCTTTCATTCTCTGTTCTGTTGTTGAATATGGCTTACATTTTCCTGTTTCTTTGTGCATTCAATTTTATTGTGTCTTGGACAATTAGAAAGATATACTGTACAAGCTCTGGATTCAGTTATGTTCCTCCAAAGAGCATGACTTTTCTTAAAGCATTTTTTAAAAGTTTATACTTTTAAAACTTGAGGCTTCCCCTCTCTGAGTCTTTCATAGCTCCCTTTTCTGTTGCTGTAGTTACCTGAAACTCCACTGTTTGGTGGCAAGAAATACTGTAAGGTTTCTGTCTGAATTTTAGCCACCTTGCATGGTACAATTCCGTGACTGCCCTCAAGCTAGCCATAAAACCAGGAAATTCACCTAGTATCATTCCCTTTTCGTGTGACTGCCCTCAAGCTAGCCATAAAACCAGGAAATTCACCTAGTATCATTCCCTTTTCCAAGTGTCAACCTTCCCTCCTAGTCAATGCCATCAAAAAGTAGCTTTTGTTTTAATTTGTTTTGATGTTTTGACCACAGCTTGGAGCATTAGTCCAGCAGGAACTATTTGACAATTATCAGACATGAAAACACTTGTCGCTTCCATTGCTGCTGCTGCTGTTGTTAGCAGTGAGTTTAACCATCAATATTTTATAGAGAACTTTTTCTCAGGTTAAATTTTAATATTTTGTCTTTAATGACCTTCAGCTTTATTAAAATGTGTCTAGGTATTGATTAATCTTAATATTGTCTTGACTCTGTGGATTAATTTTATCAGAGAGTCTGGAAAGTTCTCAGCTGTTATTTATGTGGTTACTGCTTCTTCACAATTATCTCTATTCTCTCCTTCCATTAGATGTATTTCAATCTTATCACTCCATTTTTCTGTTATATTTTTCATTTTTTAATCCCTCTAAACTGTTCCCTGGGAAGTATCTTCAGTTCTCTCCCAATATTCTATACAACTGTGCCTTATATGCCTTGTAGTATATCCATTAAGGTTTTTACTTTAGTAAATATACCTGAATCGTTTTGAAATATGCCCAGACAATTGAATAGTTCATTTTCCTCTTTGATTTGTATCCCCACTTTTATTTCTTCAACTATATCAAATATAAAGTTTTGAATTTAGTAACCACTAATTCCAATATCTGCTGTCTTTGCATGCTGAAGTCTATATTTTATTGTTTCTGATGAATTTAACCAAGGGTAGTTTGTTTTCTCATTAATATAATGATTCAAAATTGTAAACTTATGACACATTATCTGTAAAAAGCCTTTGAGAACCATGTATAGGGAGGCTCTAACCCAAAGAGAATTTATACTTCCATTGGGGGAAATATTTTAATGTGAACTCGTTTTAAACTATATTTCTAGCTTAGAATTATTTGGGTCATAGAGTGGTATGAATTCCAGCACTACATTTGGGTTAAGGTTAGAAATTCTCAGGGGAGATTGCTTTCGTTTTAATCTACCCATCCCAGAGCCACTATCAAGGTAGGTGTATTATCTTCCACAGAATGGGCTTCTTTCCAAATTCACCCACTGAGGGCTTTCGGAATCACAGAAGCACACCCAAATTTGCACTGTGCTACAGTTCTGGGTTTTGTCTCCAGTCAGTACATCCATTAAAAATAAATTGTCTTGAGTTCCGGTAAGATGGCAACAGCATAGGTGGAATTGTGAGATTCTCCAAACGTGAGTTCCCAAAAAGACTCTTACTTTTCTTCCCCCACCCCCCTGCCCACTGCCAGCCACACTGGTCTGAGGCCTGTGGACCCTCGGTCCCATGCAGGGCCGGATATTGCAGCCCCGGTTGCTGCTGCTCCACTATACATGATTCCCTCCCATGTGGGAGTCTCAGGCCTCGGCTCCCTCCCTGGCTACATTGTGTTGCCCAACACCCAGCACCAAGCCGTCGGTCATTCAGGGAGG